ACGACTACTACTACGACGACGACTGCTACGACGACGACGACTACTACTACTACTACTACTACTACTGCTACTGCTACTGCTACTGCTACTACTACTGCTCTGCTACTACTACTACTACTACTACTACTACTACTACCACTACCGCTACCACTACTACTACTACTACTACTACTACTACTACTGCTACTACTACTACTACTACTACTACCACTGCTACTTCTATTTCAGCTCCAGCTCCGTCTCCAGCTCCTGCTCCTGCTGTGCATGACTTTCACCACAACTGATCACAGAAAACAGCCCTGGGCGCTGCACAGACCAGGCCCAGTTGACAGCGTCGACATCCCCACGACCACTCCGAAGCCAAAGCCGTACATATTGAATGCTGGCAAGAGTCTCGACTGTGCGGTACGGTCTGGGCGGTTCAGAGATAGGGGCTTCACTGATGTGGGTTACACTTGTCCTGGACCTCACAGCACATCGGCTTTCCCCACAACCTCAAGTACCTAGCAGCTAAAGGCCAAAACCCTGCATCTCGCTCGGATCGTCCGCAGCGACTGCTTGCATGAAGACCTGACCTAAGCCCCTGAGGCTGAACCCTAAACTTTCCTTATCGAACTCTTCCCCGGAAAGCAACTCCAAACCTTAAACACTAAACCCTAAACCCTAAGCAATTGCAGGCTCGTCCTTGCTAAGTAGGAGGCAAAAAACCCTAACCCTAAGCCTCTGTTCCTAGAAACTTTATAGTCTTCGTGGCTTTGGGTCATTACTCGTGGCTTTGGATCATAGCTCGTTGCTTCGGTCAGGGTTTACGGTTTAGGCTTCAAAGGCTTTTGGATGGCTCTGGGGTCTGCGGTTTAGGAGTTTGGACTGGTTCTAGGGTACCCAGAGACTCCAATATCCCTTAATGAAGGAAGAGACCTTAAATGATAGTAGGATCACGAATATGATTTAAGGTATATTCCTTAGTTAGGGATATTGGAGTCTCTGGGTATTCAGGGCCTTTTGCGGTTGTCAAGTGGTGGTCTCAGGGTGGGTTGGGGAATGACAGGATCCGTAGGGTTTACGGTTTATGGCTCTGGATGGGGCTCTGGGATTTTTTGGGTTTAGTATCAGAGCCCTAGGATTTCCGGTTTAGGGCTCTGGCCCTAGGATTCGCGGTTTAGGGCTCTGGCCCTAGGGTTTACGGTTAAGGGCTTCGGGTTGGGCCTTAGGACCTAGGATTTTCGGTTTAGGGCTTAGGGCTCTGGCCCAGGGTTTACGGCTTAGGACTTTTGGTTGGGCCCTGGGACCTGGGAAATCCTAAACCCTAAACCCTAAACCCTAAACCCCTTCTAGGGCAGTGCGCTGGGCCCTAGGACCCAGCATTTACGATTTAAGACTCTGGGCTGGGCCTAAGATTTATATGTAGTCATGTAGTCTGTCTCTTTTGTTTCAATGTATATGCAGCATATGAAGTGTGGTGTTTAGCTTTTAAGGTTAATATGAAGAATGCTGATGGCGACTACTATGTGAACGGCACTGGCGCAACGCGACCTAGAAAATAGAGTTTAATTCCTAGTTGCTAAACCCTAAACCCTAAACCCTAAACCGTTGTATTGGGTGAGTATTTTTTTGAGACTTCAGAGCCCAGCTATTCGGAGCTGCTGAACCCTAAACTCAAAACCTTGAGCCCTAAGACCTATACATTAAGCCCTGAACTCTAAACCTTAAGCCCAAACCTTAAGCCCTAAACCTTAAGCCCTAAACCCTAAACCCTAAACCCTAAGCCCTGAACCCTTAGACCCAGGACTGGTCTTCCCATTGCCGAGGGCCCTCGGCCTTCTTGGCTAGTGAAAGAGGCCATTAGGGAGGTCTGGGGTTTAGGGTCTGGGGTTTAGGGTTTAGGGTTTAAGGTTTTGGGTTTCAGGATGTAGGGTTTATATAGGGTTTAGAATATAATAATAGGAACAGGGTTTTGGGGTATATTACACTATAATTCGAATAAGGAACTCCCAAAATAGCATTGGTAATTGTAGGGTTTAGGGAGTGTTTTCGGATAGGGTTTAGGTTCAGGGTTTGCGGTCCACCTGCCTGGTTTATATACGTCTCTGCTTGGGGCAGAGGGAGCTCCGGTTTAGGGTTTAGGGTTTAGGGTTCACAATCCAAGCCCATGCTGAAAAGGGTTTAGGGTTCAGGGTTTAGGGTTTAGGGACCCTAAACCCTAAACCCTAAACCCTAAACCGTTAGGGACCCAAAGAGGCTTTCCGGTCTACACGCCCTGATAGAGATACCAGAAGCTCGTTCACTAAGTTTACTACTGCATTCCGCTCAGGATTGGGAGATTGGCCCCTAAACCCTAAAACCCTAAACCCTAAACCCTAAACCCTAAAACCCTAAACCCTAAACCGGCTTTGAGTTTATATGTTGGACGGCTTGGGATTCGATTGGCGCGGGAGCTTGAACTCTTTGGGCCCAGTGAGTTTCGGACGCTTAGGGCTTGGGGTTTAGGGGTTTAGGGTTCAGGGTTTAGGGGTTTAGGGGTTAGGGTTTAGGGTTTAGAGGTTTGGGTTTACGTTGCACCTAATCCGTGCACAAGGGAGTCTTAAACATTTAATATCAATGTTAATGTTGATATCAATACTCTAACAACAGGAAGCAACAACGATATTCGATGTGCCAGTGGCCTAAACCATAAACCCAGAACCCGATATTCCTCAAACCCTAAACCCGAACCTCGAAACAAGGGGAGTTGGTTCTGAGCTTCAAGAGACGAAAGAAGAGCGCCTCTCAAGTTAAAGCTTGAGTTCATGGGACTTGGCAGTAAAACCCGGGGTACAGGGACAGATGCACCGTCAGGAAAAGCACCCGAACATGCATTTATACCTGTACCCGAAACTCTATACAGTGGTGGGTTAACGCCAAAGATCGGCTACATAGAGGGCAGTCGAAGCCGCAGGTATTGTATGTATTTCTGCAAAAAACACCGGGGCCACGGCGGCTAGGGGGTGGCACGCGGTCAGGATGAGCTGGTGATCGATGCTCGCAGCCCGCAGCCACCCGGTAAACACTTCAAGTTGCCCACACTCCCAGGGATTTAGGGGCCCAGGAGTTTAGGGTTAGGTCCAGTGCTTTAGGGTCCTCGCTGGGTTTGGGTTTTGCCCGACGCGTAACCCCAAACCTCAAATCTTAAACCCTCAGCTCCAAAACCATGACGCGATCCAAATAGAAAAAAGACTATGCTGCCTTATCAATCTAAAGCCTATCGTTTTGAGGACTTGTATACGGAAATCAGGGAAGGATCCCCAACACCTAGATTGTTTGGGTAAGGTGAACCCCAAATACGGCTGGGGTGCACAAGGACGCAATGGCGCTTTAGGGCTTGGGGTTTCGAGAAGTTTTGGGAAAATAAGTTTCTCTCCTACAGTCTGGAAAGCGTCCCGGCCGCCCCAAAGATGCTAAACCTCTCAAACCGGAATATGGAAGCCTGATTAATTCGCAAAGTAATGAATATTTCTTAGGTTCCAAAAATTTCTACAGCATACCCCAAGACACGATGTGAACCTGTTATAGTTATGAAGGCGTCTTCATTCCGGCAGTAGATTGCGCAGTAGACTCTTCAACCTCAACTTGCGACCTACATGGCTGGGCCCCTGGGATCCCTGAACCCTAAACCCTGAACCCTGATCCCTATACCCATAGGCTCCATAGTAGTTCCTTTTGGGGATTACCTTATAGGATTCTAAATATGAACCCCAAGAAGGAACTACTATGGGGCCTATGGGTAAGCCCCCCAAAAAACACGTAGAATACTAGCCCTTTATAGGTTTTGGGCCATTAGTTTGTTGTAACTACTTGTGGGGGTTTGGGTACACCCTGAACCTTGAACCCTAAAATTAGGAGCCGAAACGAGGGTTGAGGCTAAGGGTTCCAGGGCAGTGTGTAGGTTTGCTTTAGGGTTCGGGTTTAGGGTTTAGGGTTTAGGGTTTAGGGTTTAGGGTTTAGGGTTTAGGGTTTAGGGTTTGGGTTTAGGGAAGCCCTCAACATTAGACCCTAAACTAAGCCCTACACGGTTTCATGCAGCCGTTGAGTCGGGGAGTCGGCTTGGGATTTATACAGGGTGTGATAATATGGCCTCAATGTTTGGGGTTTAGGCGCTAGGACTGTGGGTTTAACTTATGCCATGCAGCCTTGAACAGAAGTAGGTCCCACGACTTGAAGCTCTGAGCAGGCGTAAGCCTCATGTAAAAATCTGAAGCGATTGTCAGTTTAAAACTATCAACAGGACTCCGTTCCTGAGAATGAGACCGTTTGCATAGTCGTTATACTCACTGATATGCCACCTGCTACTACTAATGATAATACCCGACCGATAGTATCCAATAGTAGTAGTAACAACAACCACCATATAAAAACTAACCGCCAGGATAATCATCATATCGTCATAAAGATGGGCAGTGGCAAAGCCATAACAACAAGACTACCAATTACAACAGCAACGAACATGAGGTTCGGCGGAATGCTGATTATTCAACCGGTTCTGATGGATGCGGACGGTGGATGGGGCAAGCCCAAGGTGTCGAGTTGGCGAAGTCTGGTGTTGGGGCTAAGGGTTTAATGTTTGCGGTTTAGGGTTTACTGCAGCATTACCCTAAACCCTAAACCCTAAACCGTCGGCATTTGCCTTTGAGATACTCTAAAGGGTGTCAGCTTGTTGGTGTGCAGCATTTAGGGTTCAGGGTTCCTGCGTAAACCCTGAACCCTAAGCCCGCGTTTGTGGGTTGTGGCTTGGTTTTTTGTGGTGGTTGGAGTATTTGGGATTGCGTTTAGGATTGAGCGCCGGGCTTGGGATCAAGATCAGAATTAGTGCATAGAGGTTTAAGTGCTGCGCCTCCATTTAAGCGCAGTGCGATTGAGGAAGCTTGGACAAAGCCAGCCCAATGTGCAGCTGCCAGACTTTCAACCCTAGGCATCGGTGTCTATACAAAGACATGAATACATACATGCCTGCATGCATACGTATATACATGTGTATTATATATATATATATATGCATATGTAACACATGTAACTTTCATGATTTTCGGTATGTATGTGTATACATATATAAACATACACTGAACACTTCGAGGTTTGTGTGCTACGATTTGCGAAACTGCTCTTCAAAATCAGTTTGAAGCATGGTGTAATGCATTCTTGATATGAAGCGTGGCATAATGTTTTTTCTACGAGCAGTGGTAGAGTCCAGCATTTCGAGCGCTGCACATTCCCGATCAGGGTTTCTAGATTCTTGGTTTCCTGAGGTGTAAAGTGGTGGGCGTAGAGGTTTAGGGACTGTTTCTCAGCGTTTAGGATTTAGGAACATGTCTTTAAGGCACATGTGGTTGCTCGAAGTAGGGATTGGGGAAGACTATTATATATGGGGTGCCTTCAATGGTTCTTTTATCGGTACTAAGGGGTTAACCCAGAGACTCCAATATCCTTTAATTAAGGAATAGACTTTAAATCATATTAGGGATCCTCCTATAATTTAAAGGTAAATTACTGAATTAAGGGATCTTGGAGTCGCTGGGAAGGGAGGTTTAGGGTGATTTCATGCCACAACAGTCCAAGGCGTCACGTCCTCGCTGGTTGCGCTCCATCCTCGCCACAAACCGCCACGTGGTGGAGAGGTTTAGCGGTTAAGGGCTTAGAGGCTTAGTAGGGTTCAGGGATGGGGTTTAGGGGTTGTGCAGCGGTTATAACTTTTTGGTTTATTCGGCGGATTGCAGTGTTAGGGAATTGGGTTCGGAGTAATGTAGGAACCTGATTAAGAAACCCCGGCCCTATAACCCCAATATCTTAGGGTTCATATTAAGAACCCTAATAAAGGCCCAGCAGCCTAAAGAGTTCGTAGTATTATTCCCCGTGTAGTCCCTGTATATTTTGACTATACTGGACCCCGAAACCCTAGTCTAGTCATTCATGCCCTACATTACCTGGTTTCGACGGTTTTGATACGCCCCCTGGCTCCAAAAGACTCCTACTACGGATACCCCGAGAGCTCCGAATCCTCAATTTGAAGCCTTCAACCCCCTTGAAAGCTAAACCCTGAACCCCAAACCCTAAAAACTTGTGTCTGGCGTTTTGCTACGGAAGACTGTGAGCCTCCTTGGAGTCCCCTCAAACACTCTCGTCAAATCCGACTGAACTCCCTGCGGTGCGACTTTGTCAGCTGGGCGGGTGGGAAAAGAAACCCTAAACGCACTCGGGCAGCCTTGAGCCGCAATCAAAATCCCGAGCTCTGACGACCCTTCCTGTCGGAAAACAGCCTTGAACAAAAACTTCGGGCTCATAGGGTTTACCCATAATTAGCGTGTAGGGTTTAGGATGTAGGGTCAGGGCTTAGGCCTAGGTACAGTCTTCATGGTAGTTCCTACGTAGACCTGGTTATACCGAAGAGGGGTTGCAATAGACAATATAGGTATGCCCTCACTCTTTTCAAGGAGTTCCTGTCGGTTTCGGGAGGTATTCCAAAAACGAATGCCCTATAATAGGAACCCTGCTTTAGTTGTTACCTGTGACCCCTAAACCATGCAAAATAGTAGGTTATGACCCCCTTAACTAGAGGGTAGAACCCTTACAACGGTAGGCTTGGGGAGTCCCAGCTAAGGAAACCCCAAACCCTAAACCCCTAGACTCTAAACCCTAAGACCTAGTCCCTAAAACCCTCCATAGTATAACATTGTGACTTAAGGTTTAGTTTAGGGTGTAGCAGCACCCTCTAATAAACCTTAAATGCCCACTATTAAGGACCATAAGAGCCCCATTAAAGGGTACTTGGGGGGTGCTGGCCAGGTTTAGGGTTTAGGGACGTTTAGGGCTTAAAGGGTTTGTAGGCTTTATGGGGCCTATGGGATTTGTAGCCTTTCGGAGTTTTGGAGGTGTCTGCATACGGCTTATAGCAAAATCCCAAAAATCCTCCGTGAGGTTTCCATGCTCGGCAGCACGGACATGCTGTGGTTTTGAGGTGCGCTACTGGGCTGATGATGTCCCTCGGGGAGACTTATTTATAGGGTTTAGGGTTTAGGGTTTTGGGGGTTTAGGGTGTAGGGGGTTTAGGGTGTAGGGTTTCGGAATTTCGGGTATGCACTGCGAGCCGTAGTGAAGGCGTCAGCAAGCAGTGTGTCAATGACCTCGGCGGCCGAAGCGACACTCGAGAAGAACGCGAAGTCAATGGCGGTAGCAGCACCAACAACACAGCACAGTTGAATTGTTAAAGTGCAAGGCCAAGGCAGCAGCAGGAACGGGTACCGCATGGCACCGCTGCAAAGACAACACATCCATCAATCACGCTGTCAACACAAGAGTCATTATAAAGTGGCTAGGCGCAGGACTGTAACAAGTACAGTCGTACTAACGAGGTATGCATACCCTAAGGGTCCATGTTCCCACATAGTATATATTCTTTCGCCTTAATGTAGTCCCTATATAGGTAGTTTAGGACCTATGACCTATATATATATATATATATATACATACACATACTTTTTGGGCACATGGACCCTTAGGGATATAAGCGCTTACACGGTTTTCTCCCAGCACTTTCCGGTATGACGCTTGGTCGTGGTTCCTTCCCGAGATCTCGGAAGTACTGTTGGTGCAGATCAGGTCTTCCGTTAGGGTATGCGTTTGGGTTTAGGGTTTGGGGACCCTAAACCCTAAGCGCGAAATGTTGAAAGCTCTGGGCTTCATGTTTTGAGAAAGGGGTTTCGTGTTGTTGATTTGACGATTTTAGCGGTCTTAGTAATTGCCTATATTCTTTTGGGGGTTCCTTATTATAAGTATTCTATAAAGGACCCCCAAAACCCTATTCTAATGATTCAGGCCCTTAAAGCCCAAACCCTTATAGCGGCCATTATAGAACCCTTGAAGGAACCGTTTTAAAGGACCCCCAAACCCTGTATTTTACTTGACCTTAAACCCCACACCCTTATAGTAGCCCTTATGGAATCCTTGAAGGAACCTGTTGTAAAGGACCCCAAAACCCTATATCTTAATTATCAGGGCCCCTGAACCCCAAACCCTTATAGTAGCCCTTACAGAACCCTTTTAAACGAACCCTTTAAATGAATCCCAAAAACTTGTTCTAATTAGTAAGGCCCCTAAACCCTATATGGTTATGTCCGACTCAGTAGTGCGCATCCCTAGAGAACCTCCAAAGCCACAGTTTAGGATAAGCATAAGAAAAATACAGGAATTCCAGGTTTGCAGGGAATACGAAGAACATAGGGTAACTAGGAAAATAGGGGAAACATAGGCATGAGCTAAGGAAAGAATAGGAAAACATAGGAATAACATAGGTAAAAATAGAAATAAGATAGGGCAACTAGGGATAACATAGGGAAAACTAGGAATAGAATAGGGAAAGCATTGGACATGTAGGGAAAACGCTAGGAAATCTATGAAAAACGCAGGCCCACCGGTAGAAAGGAGAGCTGGAAGCGCGGGCAGGGGTTCCTGTGTTTCTCCTAAGTTTATCTCAGTTTTCGTTTATTTCTATTTTCAACATCCAGGATTCCTATTTTTGTTCCTATGTTTATCTTATTTTGGGCCATTTGCGATCTGACTAGAGTTCGCACAAGAGTCGGACATAACCTGACAGTAGCCCTTATAGAGCCCTTTAAAGGAACCCCCCAAACCCTGTAATCTAATTCACAAGGCCCCTATAGTAGGTCGGTCGGTTCCTTGGCTGCACTCGGGACCCCTCAGAGGCCTTGGCGGTGTTCAGGTTTTGAGGTTTTGGGTGTTGGGTTTGGGTTTTGGGTGAGGGGTTTAGGGGTTTAGGGTTTTGGGGTTCGGATTTCGGGTTTAGGGTTGCTTTGTTCTCGCACAGTTCAGGGTTGAGGGCGCCCAGCCCCTCAAACTTCTAAGCCCTAAGCCCTCAACCGGGAGGTGGCATCCGACACATCCGCAGCTCACAAAATGGCAGCGCCGTCAGTGTGGGTCAAAAGTCGACGAGCGGACTTGTACCTTGGCGCAAGCAGATAAAGGTGTGGGGTTTAGGTTTTGCTGGCTAGGGGTTCAGGGCTTACGGCCTTTAGGGCTTCTGGGCTGGAGGTTGGTGGTGCAGGGATGGTGAGGTATATGGGACTTAGGTTAGGGCGTTGAATTTGCAGTTAGATCTCCGGACAATGTTTGGCTTCGGAGCTTCATCTGGGTGGGAGTTTGAGAGTAGCCATTCTGTTCCGAACATCTGGGCTGATAGGATGCATGCATGCGAACTGCTTAGATCATGTGGCACTGAAATCATCATCGGAGAGCACATTTTTCCAAAGCTCAGAGAACAAAGGATGGTGTTCAGAGGCCCAGCAAAAACAAGTCTAAGCAGGAAGCCTGTAGAAGTTCTGAACCCTAAACCCTAAACTTTCCCTAAACACAGAGAATTCGAGTTTGGTTGGAGTCTGCCCAGAAGATGCACTTCTGGACAGGAACATGTCCTTGGTGTTCTTCTGGTTGGCTCTTAGGACTTTAATTTTTTTGGCTTCTGTATGAATTATAGTCTTTTGGGATTTCTATATGAACTATAATGTATAGGCTGCAGGCTTAACTTTAAGGAGAGGTTCAGAAGTCAGCCAAGTATCCTACGGGAAGCCATTAGCCGCACATCTTGGAACCCTCAAGCCGTAGAACCCTAAACCCTGGATTGTGTTGGCCAGAGGCTCAAGACGCATGATCGGGCCCGCCTCAACCCTCTAACCTCCTCCTAATAAGGCCCTTATGTGACCTCATCGAGCGAATGTTGTTCTAAGTCTGGCACTCCCCTGGCAGTGCAAACCTCGAGACACTTTGGTTTCAAAGCTTGAAAATTGCCAACCTTCTCGGTTCGTTGTTAGTCGGCAACCTAAACTTTAAACCCACACCCTCATACATTCACCGAAGAAGGTAATCTACAGTTCCCCTCCCTCCCTTCGAAATTAGATGCGAACTAACTTAAAGCTTGAAAATGTTCGAAATCAGGTAACTAGACTTAGAACTACTTATAGCCCCAATTGAGGTACTTTTGACCTTACTTACCTAGTAGGTCCCCGTATCTGTTTGTAGCTCTGAACCAGGCTCCTTCTGTCCCAAACCCCTAAACCCCTAAACCCTAGACCCCTAAACCCTAAACCCTAAACCCTAAACCCTAAACCCTAAACCCTAAACCCTAAACCCTAAACCTAAACCCCTAAACCCCAAACCTGGCAATCTCCTGCTCGGCAGGCCTGCATCTTCTTCGCTCCAATTCCTGACCTTAGCAGTAGAGAGTTAGGTAACCTTTAACCTTCTTGAGGTACTATAATCCGTATATAGCCCCAAAGGCTAGACTTTAGTTCCCTGGAATATTGGAGAGGTGAGTAGCAATCCGAATGTTAGAGGCAGGTACTGTGCAGAGACTTTAGAGTTTGTACAACTGAAGTTTAGCGTTCAGGGTTGAGTTTCGTAGGCGGCACAGAGGGTATAAGTTGCGTTGGTAGGAGATCGCCGTGTCTTGCAAATGTGCCAATAGTGAAGTCGCCGTTGGTGATGAAAAGGTGGTAGGGGCTAGTCGGCTAGTCCATGCAGCAGAAGCAACCACAGTAGGCAGCTTGAGCTGAAGTTTTCGGCACGAAGTCTTAACAAGCGACATCAGCTTGGGTCTGTTACTCATGAACTCACGTAAATGCAGGGAAATAAAGTTTTAGCAAGAGTCCTGGCACTAGCCGCAAGCTATGAACCCTGAGGCGCAGCCATTGTTGTATATAATCTGCATGGTCATAGCACCATTACTTATGCGGCTGGTGCAGGGACGCTTGCATGAGCACCTCTCCTCCTTCCAAGCTTACCCGGACCTATTAGCCCTAAAACCCAAGTTCCGCTGCAGTGAGCAACATGTCGATTATTGTGCAAGTTGGGCTGCTCAGCGGCAAGACCGCTACGGTGGAAGCTCGCTTCGATGAGGATGTTGCAACATTGAAGGGTCGGGCACAGAGCGCACTCGGAGTGGGAAAAGGACGGCTGGTAGACTGGTCTGGACGTGTTCTGGATGCATCTGCCCCGATCAGATGTGCCAGGCTGCAGAACGGTGATTCACTGATATTACAAATAAATGGGTCGCAAGTTTGCGCCTCTGAATACGCTTTTGCCACCATTCTTGGCGATGGGTCTGTTCTGACCTGGGGTCCTGCTGACTGCGGTGGTGATAGTAGTACCCTGCAGGATAAGCTGAAGAACGTGCAGCAGATCCAGGCAACTCACCATGCTTTTGCTGCCGTTCTTGGTGATGGATCCGTCGTGGCATGGGGTGATGCTGTTTTTGGTGGTGACTGTAGTGCAGTGCAGGATCAGCTGGTGAATGTGCAGCAGATCCAAGCATCTTGCAGTGCTTTTGCCGCTGTTCGTTGGGATGGATCGGTCGTGACCTGGGGTTATGCTAACCACGGTGGCAACAGCCGTGCGGTCCAGACTTTGCTGAAAAATGTGCAGCACGTCCAAGCCAGTGACTTTGCGTTTGCCGCCATTCTCGGTGATGGATCCGTCGTGTCCTGGGGTTATGCTGGCAGAGGTGCTGTGCAGCGTCAACTGAAGAATGTACAGGAGATCCAAGCATCTTGCGGCGCTTTCGCTGCCATTCTTTGCGATGGAACCGTCGTGACCTGGGGTGATCCTCGCCAGGGTGGTACTGATGTTGAGGGCCAGCTGAAGAATGTGCAGCAAATCCAGGCCTCGCGCCGCGCTTTTGCTGCTATTCTTGTTGATAGATCTGTCGTAGCCTGGGGAGATGCTGCGTTCGGTGGTGAGATTAGTGCTGTGGAGGACCAGCTGATGGATGTGCACCAGATCCAAGCCTCTTCCGCAGCCTTTGCTGCCATCCTCGCCAACGGAACGGTTGCGACCTGGGGTGATGCTTCGGCTGGTGGTGACAGCCGAGCTGTTCGGGATCAGCTGAGGAATGTGCTGCAAATCCAAGCCACTGAAGCCGCCTTTGCTGCCATCCTTGCCGATGGATCCGTCGTGACCTGGGGGGATGCTGGTGCTGGTGGTGACAGTAGTGCTGTGCAGGATCAGCTGCAGAATGTGCAGCAGATCCAAGCATGCAGGAGTGCCTTTGCTGCGATTCTTGGCGATGGATCCGTGGTGACCTGGGGTCGTGATGACTTTGGTGGTGACAGCAGTGCCATGCAAGATCGGCTGAAGAGCGTGTCGCAGATCCAAGCCTCTCGCTGCGGTTTCGCTGCCATTCTTCGCGATGGAGGCCTCGTGACCTGGGGCGATACTGATGCTGCTAGCTGCTACCAGTAGTGCTGTGCAGGCCCAGGGCTCCTTGTGACGGATCAGCCTCTGTTTCCGGCAAAGGAGTGCGAGACTGCCATGGTTTTATGGCTACTACAGGGCCTTGGCAAATGCCTATACTATTTTCGGTGTTCGTTTATTATAAATATAGTATGATATACCTCCAAAGCCCTATTCTTGCTATTAAGGCCCCTACATTAGGCTTCTGAACCTAGACCCAAAGCCGAAGTCCCTGAACCGTAAACCCGGCACCTTCGTAGTTCTTGGGGTAACCTCGGACTCGGAGACATATAGAAATATTTCGTCGCCAAATATGGGGGCGATTAACCTGGCTAAACCGTGTATGGTGCTACCTTAAACTTGTTTTGGGCCAAGGAACTTTAGCACGTGAGATAAGTATGTTTTGGGATAGTCCGGGAGGGATGGGGGTCTAGAACTTAAAGCGTCGAGTTTTCCGTTGGAGCATGGCGAGTTGACAGCGATGCATGAAGCCTGAGCCACTCAGAGCCCAAGAGTCTAGCGGATTTGAACCAAGAAACCCAAGCCCAAACCCTTAACACTTCGGATTTAAGTTTAGGGTTTGAGGGTTTAGGGTTGAGGGTCGACATACAGGTATGTATCGCGCACCCACCACGGCTTCCGGCTTCCCGGGGTCGGAGTTGAGGCTTTAGGGCTTCGGTTTTCCCGGGTTGGGAGTAGCATATTAATGTTTTTTTTTTTTTTGTTTTTTTTTTGGGGGGGGGCTTGTTACTTAAAGGACCCATTATGAAATAAACGTTGACGTTTGTTTTCTCTGGTTACTTCAAAAGTCGAGTTTTTGGGCCTTCTAGGTTTTCTGCTTATGGATTCGAGCTGATTCTGATTCTCAGGACTTCCGAAGTTTGGCGCAGACTTAGCACGGCGAAGCCTTAAACCCTAAACCCGAACAAAACTAGAAATGCCAAGAACTGCCGAGACTGGCTATACACGACGCTTAGGGTGTAGGGTTTACTATGCCCATTGAGAAGCAAAAGCTGGCCCCATGAACTAGGCACCAAGAACAACGAACGGGAGAATTTCAACTGGGAGAAGCACCTCATGCTCTCGGAGTACCTGACAAGCCCTCAGAATTTCACCCACGTGGCTCGGCTCCGATGGTTCGGGGGTTAGAGTGTACCTGGGGCCTGAGAAACCTACATGCATCGGGCTCCCCGTTACGATCTACACATACATGCATACCATACATCCATACATACATACATACATACATGTCGATCTAGTCTTTCGCGCTTTTTAGCAGCAGCACCCCCTGAAGAATCGAGTTTGTTCAGGGTGGTTGCTTCAGTATTGCCCCTCATGCTTATTGCATGAGGACTGTGCACATGATACTGGCTGACTCTGGTGGAGGTGATGACGATGATGGTAACTGATGAAGATGATGTTGATTATAAGGCCAATGCTGCTGATTTTGACTGAAACCGGGACGGTAATAGTACCATGATCACCAGGTTTGCTGCCTGAACCACTAAGTGGGCTGCATTGGGTACTGCCCCGCTACTGCTGGTAGTATATAGTAGTAGTTGTAGCGATAGTAGTAGTAGTAGTAGTAGTAGTAGTAGTAGTAGTAGTAGTGGCAGTGGCAGTGGCAGTGGCAGTGGCAGTGGCAGTGGCAGTGGCAGTAGTGGCAGTAGTAGTAGTAGTAGTAGTAGTAGTAGTATTAGTAGTAGTAGTAGTAGTAGTAGTAGTAGTAGTATACTAGTAGCCTAGTACTAGCACTAGTATTAGCACTAGTACTAGTGTTGGTACTAGTACTAGTACTTGTACTGGTTCTAGTACTAGTACTAATGCGGTCACTGCTGCGACTGCGGCGACGACTGCTACTACTGCCACTACCATTACCTACTTCCACCACCAGCACCATCAACACCACTGTTGATTACAAGTATTGCACCTGATACTACTGCTGTTCTTCTTGGTGGTGTTGATATTCCGGCTGAAACTACTGTTGTACATCCCGTCCCTTTTAGTTTGGCAGGTTCTCATGCTGGATGCAGATGCCGCCCTCGTGAAGCATCCCCTGATCCTTGCTTGGCACGGCCGTACTGGCTTTGAGTTTTATAGTTCCAGAGTTCAGGCTTGATTAAAGTCTAAAGTGTGGGTCTACGGCTTCACCCCCCACATGCTGTGCTGCCTCGACACGACCCATGAACCCTAAGATAGGGGCCTTAACAAATACCTATATTATTGTGGGGCCTCCTTATTATAATTACACTATTAAGGGCCCCCAAACCCTATGCTAACTGTGAAGGCCCCTACACTAAACCACCGAAGTCCTAAACCCTAAACCCTAAACCCTAAACCAGCCACCGAAGTTCTACAATCAAAACCTCAAGACTTCGAAAGCTGCCGCTCAAGGAGTATCCGAGTGCCAGTGCCCTAAACCCTCCTTCGCCCGAAACCCTTACTTTTAGGGTTTAGGGTTTAGGGTCTAGAGTTTAGGGTTTAGGGTTTAGGGGTTTAGGGTTTAGGGTTTAGGGTCTAGACCTTTACTTTAAACTCCAAGCTATACAACCTTGGGATTGCTCACCAGAGCCCTAAAACCCTAAAGCCTTCAACTCTACACAATAAAACCGAATAGGGTTTAGGGTTTCGGGTTTAGGGGTCTACAGCCAAAACCCCAAATCAGGAACATCCTGGGCGAGATCGCGAAGCAGATGGAGGCCAGAGTTAGCGTATCATAGGAGTTAAAGTTAGCAAAAAGAAGTCCTTAATTTGAGGGTTCTTAAAAGGGTTATAAGGGATTTGGGACATAGAGGTATAGGGGTCATCACATTATAGTCCTGACATAAAAAAGACCCGGAATCTACCCTTAAACCTCGTTCTCATTATTCAAGGCCATTATTTATGGCTTCAGATCCCTAAACCCTAAACCGCCTAAACCCCTCTTTGTGGCTTCAGACGGACCCTGACTCTGAACATAGAAACGACGAAAGTAAGAATCTGAAACGTCTTTTAAAGTTCGACTGTTCAGGCACGCAGAGGGCTGGTTTAGGGTCGTCGTTGTAGTCAGTTATCGATTGAAAGTTGCAGGGATCAGTTTCACTGTTGTTAAGGCTTAAAGGCTGAACCATGGTAGTCCTTGAGCCCACTGTTGAACTCGAGTCAACGAGAGCTTTGTTCTAGGGTTCAGAATCTCAGAAACTGAGTAGGTAAACCTCTAGCGCCTCTGCGTGAAGCGCAGTGTAAGGCTTATGATGGGGCTTTTGTGCTTTCAGGATTGATATCTTCCTGCCATATCTGAAATGTTAGAGAACCAACCCCAAACCGTAAACCATAAGCCCTAGACCCTAAACTCTAATTTGTCCCTTAAGCATACACCCTACCTACACCATACATTCCGAAATGGCCCTGGGCTCCAGGAGTGAACTTTGGACCCTCAATCGAGACACGTTGATATGCATTTTCGAATTTATTCAGAGTCATGCCAGTGTGTATAGTTTTGGGGTGAACCCTAAACCCTAAACCCTAAACCCTAAACCCTAAATCCTAAACCGGACTGTTAAGGCTTCGGATTTGGATATTGTTGTGCGGAGGCCAGAAATCTCGATGTCTTCCTCACAAGCGAGGAGCGGGCATGAGACGTTGACTTGGACAAAGCCCTAATCGCCTCAACCCCACCCCCCAAAAAAAAACAAGCCCAAACCCTAACACACGAATCCCAAAACGTAACACACGAAGCCCAAAACTCTACAACCCTAAACCCTACAGTACTGTTGCCTGATGTGTAATACCCCAGTAACTATGTCCCATGATCTTTGTTTGAGTATACTTTGAGTGAAGCTGATGCCCAAACCATGCAGTGACCAACTTTGTCTCAGAGGAATCCGGGAGCGGTCAACATTTTGCTGTGTAGAGGGTTTCGGGTTTGTGGTCCCTAATGTGCTGCGAGGGAATTTGGCCGGGCGAGCTCCAATCAAGCCTGTGTAAAAAGGGTTTAGGGACCAACCTTAAACCCGAAATCCTCAACCCTAAAGCCCAGATTGAGGCACTGGACATTTGTTATCAAGCAGTTCGCTGAGAACCTGAGAACTACCATAGCCTACTGTGTTGTAGGTTCTTATGATAACACCCCTAATGCATAATTGTTAGGGGCCCTGCCACAGTAGCAGGTTTTGGTAGTTCAAGGCAATTATTCTTAAGCAACAGACACATGCAAACACCGAGCTCCTGCTGCAGACACCCACAGGTAGAGAGCTGCCCCTAAACCCGCCAAGAAGTCTCCACTTTGGGGTTTACTTGCGTTAGGGTTTAGGGCTCAGGGGCTTGCATTCCTTGCATTCCTTCTAGGTTCTGCTGAAGCCAGAGTTTACAAACCCCATGGTATCGAATCATTCAGAAGCCGCGTGGAGGCCCATTGTCTTCTGCCGAAGAACGAACACCCAACCACCCGGAATCCCAAAATCGTAGGCCCCTCCTTGGAGGATCACGAGGCTTCGTAAGTAAGGCTGTAATTAAGTTATGACTTACCTTTTTGTGGCTATAAGTAGATATGTGCATGGTTACTTTATGTATAACCTGGTTACGAAGTCACATGATCCTGTAAGTAGCGACACGTCACGTAGGACCCCCCTTCCTCTCGCAGCTTCTTGAAACCAGGACTGGCTGAAGTACGGGGAGAACCGCATCAACGGAGGCTTCCTGATGACCAGGCCACCACACAACCCTAAACCCTGAACCACTTAACCCTAAACGGTTTAGGGTTTAGGGTTTAGGGTTTAGGGTTGAACCACTTAACCCTAAACCTCAAAAGCTCTACACCCCTACATCGAAAACCCCTAAATATTCAGCAGATGGGCTGCGGATTGCCATAGAAGCCCAGTTGCCAATACGGTGGATCGCTACGCTGCAACCAGGCAGACTATTTCATAAAACCAGCACCGACTACGTCGGCATGTGGCCTTAAAGGCTAAAGGTCTGTAACAGGTTTAGTGTTGATTTCCTTGTGTAGCCGTGGCAGTGGATTCGGAGTTGATTCGACAGAGAATACTCGGCTTACACTGTGCTTGACACTTAGACGGAAGACACCGTAAACTAGGTGGCCTTTTTGGAACTTAAATTTGTCCCCTCTGGTTCTTATAGAGGTACTTAAACCCTAAACCCTGACTCTTCAGGGCCCCAACACCACCACAAAGTAAACAAAGACCGGGCGGCACAGCCCTAACCAGAAGCCCGAGCCGGTTCCAGGGTGTAGGTCTGCAAATTTGGGGTTTACGGCTTTAGGAGTTTAGGGGTTTTAAGGTTAGGGGTTTCGGGTTGAGGGTTTATAATTAGGGTTTAGGGTTTAGGGTAAGACATTGACAGCATCCTTGTACAGTTCGGGCTGCGGTTTAGGCAATTGGGTGTCCATCTTGCCACCCTAACTAAACCCTATGAGCCCTAAATCGCTTCCGTCAGGAATTCTGCGTGGACGCGGCATCTTTTCCAGGACGGATTAATTCCGGAACGTTTCACCCCGAAACGTCTTTTCCCCATTCCACATGCTAGGATGCGGAATAGGCATCGTCTACAAAGATCGTAATTTGTACTAAAGCCATTGAACCGTATGGTCATAAATTCCTTTTAAGCCTTTGACCCCTAAACCTTTTAACCCTTAACCCTAAACCTCGCGACCCCCAGCCTAAACGCTATTCCCTTCGACCCCAACACCTGCACTAACATACCTGAAATAAGGCAGCAGTTTCCGAAAAGACAGGGGCAGCTCTTATTGCGCAAAGCTCCCACATGCTGCGCCTCTCGAAATATCAATCCCATGCAATCCACATGACAGCACGTCCTGCTAGAAATCGACGTGCCGCAATCTGAACACGACTGTTTGGACCCACCCCTATGAAACCACCCAACACTCTAAACCCCAAAGTCATACAATACCTGAACAAGGAGCCCTCAAAGGAACCTATACCCAAAACCCAAACCCTAAATCCTAAACCCTCAACCCTAAAGCCCTACACCCTGAACCCTATCGACCCTAAAATATGGCTAAACCCTCAACCCTATAAACCCCAGACCCTAAACCCTAAACCCTAAATATGGCTAAACTCTACACCCTAAACCCCCAACCCTGCTATAAGCCCTACACTCTAAAGCCTATCGACCCTAAAAGGGTGGCCTTGGTGCCAGGACACGTTCCGAGCGCACGTGAAAGGTCCGGGCGGCCTTCGCGCCTGGAAGATCGGACACTTGGACTTGGAGCGTTTAAGGAAGGGCTGGGCTTAGGGTTTAGGGTTGAGGGTTTAGGGTTTAGGGGTTTAGGGGTTTAGGGTTTAGGGGTTTAGGGTTTGGGGTTTAAGGCTGCTTTCAGGGTTCCTTTAAAGGGTTTATGGGGGCTCTTTTAACGGATCCTACAAGGGTGTTATGAAGATCGGACACTTGGACTTGGAGCTTTTAAGGAAGGGCTGTTTAGGGTTTATGGGTTTAGGGTTTAGGGTTTAGGGGCTCCTTTTGTTGAAGGGTTCCTGGTAAGGCGTCTATGGAATTATGGGGCTCTTTTAGGGGTTCCCTTAAGGGGTCGATGGGTCTTTTTTTAAGGGTGCCCTTTTCTCCGATCTCAAGAGGCATCCTACAAGGGTGTTCTGAAGATCGGACACTTGGACTTGGAGCTTACGAGGGTTCCTTTCAAGGCATGCTATAAGGGATCCCTAAACCCTAAACCCTAAACCCTATAAAGAGTATCATAGGACAAGCAACCTGCCCACCAAGTCAACCCTAAACTCCAAGCCCTCGTACGATTCTCGGAAAGGCGTGGAAAACCTATGTAAGCCCAAAGATAGGGTCTCGGGTACGGGGCTTGGGGCTCGTGTTCCGTGTTGTGGGTGTTGAGATTCGAGCATTGATTCGGCATTGAGGGCTAGTTGAAGTTGTCATGAAGTCTTCTTGGGTTTAGCGTTTAGGACTGCGGATACCGTAACAGTAGCAACCATGGGTAGCAAAAGCTGGTAACTGTGAACACACAGGCCAAAAGACACATCGTTTTTTGAGTGATCTGACAAACAGTATAAGGTTCACATTCCGGATGAGAAGGGAGAGTGCATGAACACCATGTGGTCATCTCTAGAACCTCGGCCCTAAACTCGAAACCCCTTAGCCCCAAACCCGGAAGATCTTACTGGCGCCAATGAACCCTCGACCTTTCCTTGGCGAGGCTTGGAGCATCAGGAATGTAGCAGCAACGAGCAGATCTGCCTCAATGACATCATGAGCGGCTCCTTAGACAAAGTCTTGGGGTCTTTTCTAAATTAAAAATTATGATGGAGTGTGTCGGGTTCAGGGCTATGGAGCTTAGCGGCTCAGCATGGGCAGGGCCACAGTAGCAACACAGGTCTTATGCAAGCTTGCCTCGTAATAATCATGGACATGCGTATGTCAACCCCAGCCCATGACAGCCTTTACATGCGGTCGTGAAGGGAAGCCACATGCGATGTGCTGACAGCGAAGTAGAAATTAGCAACATTATGCAATAATCACAGCGTCCAGACGATGCTGTGCAAATTAATTTCAACTGATACGAGTCGTATTGGCCTTGCACAAGGTGCTTTCGTTGAAACACCTGTGACTACCACAACCGCAGCAACATCAAAGGGGGAAATTTCAAATGCTGCTGCTTCTGCTGTTGTTGCTGCTGCTTCCGCCTTTCTGATGACGACTTGTAACAAATCAATTACGGCAGTGACGACGACGACGACGACGACCGCGACGACGACGGATGCTGCTGCTACGACCACTCCAGCACAGCAGTTACTAGCAGCATCAAGACCACGGCGAATGCGCGACGAATGGCGACGGCCACTCCGACTACCACTGCTGTTGCCACTGCTGCTGACACCACAATAACTCCCAGCTCCGGCCGTACCTGCTCTACATGAGTTCATATGCCATCATGTTTCATAATGTCTCCATCTTTGCGATGTTTTCATGACGAAACAGCTCATTTTCGAAGTTTGCATGAATCCTAGACCCGCAACCCTGCAACCAATACACACTCTGCCTTTCCCTCTTGTATACTTAGACCCTATACCGAGCATCTCCTAAAACGAGGTCCCCATAACATTAAGCTGAAGGCAGGTCATGGCAGGTACAGAGGTTGCTTTACGGGTATGTTTTATCCGTCGAGAAATGCAGTGGCAGACGCGATGACAATCATACGCAGGGTGTTTTACTTACACTCGAAGACGAAGACACCGTTTCTGGCTGCAACGGAAGTATGCCCCAAGAGCTCCCAGATCCCTTTTCGGAACAGCTTAGACCCTGAACCAGAAAGGGAACCCTAAACATCTCATCAACAGGTAAGCCTGAAACCCTAAACCTTGGGTACTGCCCCCATAGTAACAGCCTTTTATAAGGGTACTACTAAGGGCCCAATATGTCTAGATTATGAGTATTATTGAATTGTTACTGATTGGGGGCAGTATCCAACTTTTTAAACCCCTGCCCTGACCCCTAAACTTTTTAATGGCCTGTGGTTTCTGTTGTGGAAAGCTGAGGCTCTGGCAAGGAGGTTGTCAAGGGCCACATGACCCTCGAGCAACCCGGTGCCGCCAAGTTAATGTAGGGGCGTGAATAATTACCAATACTACTTTTTTTGGGTGTTATTTATTATAGTTACAGTATAATTGGCCCCAAAACCCTATTCTAATTACTAAGGCCTCTATGTTAAGAGTTCACGGGGTAAGGCTGCACTTAACAGTGTAAGAGCCTGGTGGTGGCCAGAATGCCGGAAGCATCCCGAAACCATTCAGTTTTCAAGCCACATGCTACTTCCACGGGAAACGCATGCAAGACGGCCTTGCGTACCAGAAACCTAACAACCAAACCCTAAACCGTAAATGGCTTGGGACCACCCCAGGAGCGGCATCATCTACAATCGGGGAGGTTGCACAGCCACTTGGTCGTAATTCCTTGCTAGGGCGTTTTAGGGTTTTGGTTCTAGGACTTCCTTGACAGGGAGAGGGTTTAGGGTTTAGGAATCCCTTGACAGGGAGAGTTGTGCGAGTGCGACGAGGTGTGTGGCGGCAGGACCTGCAAGCCATGAAGTGGTGATCTGTAGCGGAATTCTATGCACCCTTACACTGGGAATCCCAGGGAATCAGACCGAAATTTTCCGTACAAGTTTCGAGCACGATAGGGTTTAGGGTGTGGGGGTTTAGGGTTTAAAATGCAAGTGTAGCAACATAACTGTGGGAAACACAAGGTGGCTTCTCGCAGATTCGGCGAGGTTAGGATCACGTGGCAGTTTTACACCGTATCATCCTGTATGACGAGCCAATTTCCCAAAATTTTGAGGGCACCTGTCCAGAGCTGTCAGGCGCATGTTGTTTTGCATTTAGGGTCTGCATGGAGTTTGGGTATGCGGCTTTTCCTATAGTCTCCATTGTGGTTCCTTTTTCCGCAGTAACTAACTATCTATTACCCTAAGGGCCCATGTACCCAAATATGAGAACATTGGCCCTAAAGTACCCATATAGGGACTACATTAAGGCCGATGTTCTACTATTTGGGTACATGGACCCTTAGGGTTAAGGATCCTACACGGTCACCCCCAAACGGAACTACAATGGAGACATCGGTACTGCTTAGGCTTGCTGAGTTGACGGCCCTGGCCTCCTTCTGAGGGTCGGAACAACTTGTTGGGTAGTTTCTTTTTAAATTTAGGGTTTAGGGTTTAGGGTTTAAGGTTTAGGGTTTAGGGTTTAGGGTTTAGGGTTTAGGGTTTGGGTCCTTTTCATAAGGGTGCCGTGCGATTTTTCTGGGGACGCCAATTTAGACAACTACTCTGTTGTCTTATTCTTTAACTCCATCATTGCCACGCTGTGCTGCAAGAGCTCTACCTCAAAGCTCCACTCCGATTCTACCTCAAAGCTCCACTCCGATTCAAGTCCAATAACCTTTTTAAGGGGTTTAGGGTTTAGGGGTTTGGGGTGTAGGGGTTCAGGGTTTAGGGTTCAAGCTAAAACGCTTAACCCCTAGCCGCAGCCTCTTGGAAGGTTCGTTCTTGTGGATCCGAGCCGATCAGCGACCGTACCATGGAGGCTTTAGGGTTTCCTTTGAGGCTCTTAGTTCTCCAATACCCAACCTTTAAACTTTTTGGGCTCTTATAATTTAGTAGTAATCTGAAAGTTTAACCTTTTATTTCCCTGGCTTCTTGGTAAAGTAAGGGCTTTAGTGCTTACTTGGAGGCTCATGGAAAATGGTAAGTACAGTTACAAGTACCTCAACTGGGGTCATATTTACATACGAGTATAGCTACCATAAGTCCCATGAGCTTTCAAAGTAGAGTTGCTCCTGTGGCCCAGAGCAGGGTTCCTCGAAGGCTCTTCATGTTATGTCGGGTTTCATCAATTCATCGGAATCGGGCAGTAAAGGTTTTTAAGAGCTTACTAAAATCTTCATAGCTCATATAGCTCGACGGGAGTTCAAGAGAATACGGTCCGCGCAATTCCTGAACATGTTCACGTAAAGCTGGCCCCTTATACATGCAACAACAAAGCCACAGTGAAATCCGAAGAGATTCCCCAAGGGACCCTTATTGCACTCTGCCCGATGTACTATGCACTAAACCCCTAAACCCGAAACTTTAAGCCAGATAATTCCCTTACAGAGCTCTCGTAGAACTTTTACAGAATTCTTAGGGCAACCCTACACCCCATAAGCCCTTATACAGCTCTTGTAGCACCTTTACAGAATTCCTAGAGCAGCACTAAACCCCAGAAGCCCGAATCTCGGAATGTTTGAAGTTCCAGGGTTGGGGTTTGGGGTATCGCCTTTCGGAGGGTGCAGGGTTTAGGGTTTAAGGGCTTAGGGGTTTAGGGTTTAGGGCAAAAGCTTTTCCAGTAGCATATCTTCGTTTGTAAGTATTTTGAACATGTTCGTGAGTGTTGTATTGTTAGTCCTTTGCCTATGCTTCTGCCTTGCGTCCAGTCTGTTTGTTTTTTTATTGCTTGCATTCTTATTATTACTCTGGTTCTTAATCTTATGCGCGCATGCATGATCACTATGATGCTTACTGTTGTGTGTAAATAAGAGCGCTTATTTGCTTTATGCTTGTGTGCATGACCTTTTCTCATGATCAGAGTTGTGATGCACATGCTTTAGTTCTTTTCATCGTGATTAAGCCACATGCTGTTATTATTCGTGCGCTACTATTCTTATGCATGTGCTTGGGCTTGTTCTTGTTCTTATCCTGACTTTTGCTTTTGCTGTTCTCTTCTCCACCAAGACCTTCGCCTTGTCCGCCAAGTCATTAACCTGTAAAACACTACGTGGAGAAGAGGTTTTAGTAGGTAGCATCGGGATCCCGATATGCATCCTACACTTCGGATTTAGCACCCGGAATCCCTTCAAAGAGTAGCCACAATTGTGTTTTTCCTGTGTTTGTGTAGGGTTTGGGGTTATCATAGCCTTGAAGCACTATTCAGCACCACTTTAAGACAAGAAGGCTTCCATTAAATCGGTTGTAACTTATGTTTGCCCCAGAACTACCCTCCCGAACCCCCTTGAGCAAGAATTGAACCAACGTCAAAGCCCAGCTCTGTCAGACTCTTGGAATGAACGATGACCGCTGCTCGGCTACTTGTGGTTGAGCCTAAACCCTAAACAGCCGAACCCTAAACCCTAAACCCTATAGACCCTAAACCCTATAGACCCTAAACCCTAGACCCTAAACCCTAGACCCTAAACCCAAGACCCTGAACCCTGAAACTCTAAGCCGTGAAACCCTGAACTAACAAACAGCCTTGAACCGAGGGCTTCAGGATCGGAGCTGCGAGGGTTCCTGGCCAAGTTGAGGTTTGGACTTTTCCGTTTCAGGTTTTTGGGTCAGGGATTTTGGGTTTAGGGGTTTGGTGTTTACGGTTTTTCGGTGTCAGGGTTTAGGAGTGTGGTGTTTAGGTGCCTTTGTAAACCGTTAACCATTGGGCATTGCAAGGACAGGAATCATTATCCGGACTGTTTCTGGCCACCTCGCAGCTCCTTTGTACACTGTCTGTTGGCCTTTAATTACTCCCACAGAGAGCTCAACATAAGTTAGCGCCGCTGCCATTCTCTCGAGAAAGCCCCTGGGACCAGCACGTAGACGTAGATTCTATGAATGTAAGCTTCGTCGCTTATCGTGGTGTGTGCAGATATGGGCATGCCCCAGCAAGACAGGACCACCTGTTTGTGCTTTTCTTCAACACTTTCGCAACATCTGTCGATGCGTATAAACGC